TGGGATACTTGCGGGTACTTGTCTTTCTTGTCTGATGACTGCTATGCTCGTGTTCTTTCTGCTGCAGGTATGGTGTTGGAGTGCCAGAATCCGTCACTGTCGAATTCGGGATCAAGATCCGGCGGGTGTGTCCATGCGGCGAACGATACGATGCCGTCACTGTCGGCAGTGCCGCGGTCGGGGACGAAGTCCAACACGAAGACGCCGGACTTCAGAAGGGCACGGCCTATGAAGAGACCCCCTTCCCGTGGTAAGTCGAAACTCGTTGGAGTAAGAGTCGCACTCCAGGTGAATCCCCTTGGCCATTAGTTGGCTTACGCTTAGTAGGTTGTATCCCAGGTTGTCGACAATGAGGACTTTGTTGAGCTGAAGTATGACGTTCGTCTCCATGGATTGTAACTGAACCACGCCTTGTCTGTTTGTCTTCAGGTTTTCGTTGTTGGCGACGGTGATGATGACGTCGCGGTTGAGGCGTTTCTCCTGTTGCACGAAGCGTCCAGAAGAGCACATGTGTTGACCGCAGCAGCTGTCCAAGAACCAGGTGTTTCGCCCGGTGGGTTCGGCGTTGGCGACCGCAGCATATGTTGGATGACTTGAAGTCCTTGTGAGCGCGGTGGTGGGAGCTCTCTTCATCTGGCGCGTAAGTTTGTGGTGATCCTGGTGTGCAGTTGTCGATGTGTACCATACAGTTAATAATGTTTGGTGTCTGTTGTGCAGATGTTGAAGAGCGCCTTGGGGACTTTCTTGAGTGGAAGCGACTTGTGGGTCTGCTGGACGGTAAACGCGAGGGCGGTTGCAGTTGATCTTGGAGTGTCCGGAAGTCTGGCAGTTGTGGCAGAACGGCGGCACGAAGGTGAGTCCCCTGTTGTCGCGTTCTTGCTTGCCGCGTCGATTGTAGTTGTTGTCGTTCCTTCGTTGAGTGTAGAAGACTAACTGCTGCTGCTTCCTTGGTTGTCTTTCTTCGAACAGGTCCATCTCCTATTGTTCAGCGTGAAGCTCGGCGCAGAGGTGCATCTCCGAAATCCTTCCGTGGGCGCGAAGAAGCGATCGTGTGGTTCTCCATTCTGACCCGAGCCCGGCGAGGACAAGTGTCACGAAGCTTTCTTCAGTGATTGTTCCTCCGCACCGAAGCACACGGTCGCGGAGGGTCTGGCAGCGACTCATATACTGCATCGCCTTTTCCCCGGTCTTCATTTGTATTGTTGTCAGTTGTTGCATAAGTCTGCTTTGTGTCACGCTGACGTTTGCTTGGTAGAGGCACTTGAGATGATGCCATGCGAGCTCCGCGGAGTTTCCATAGCTCCTGTGTGTTCTGATGCTCTGCTGCTCTTGTGGTGACAGGTTTCTCAGGAGAACCGTATACACCAGAAGCGACTGATACGTGAAGATTTCCTGTTCCTTTCCTGTGCCGTTGCTTGGGAATGGCAGGGACCCGTTGAAGTATCCCAGAAGATGCGCAGCCTCCATCAGCAGCTCGAACTCGAAGCTCCAGGTAAAGAAGTCGTGTGCGTTGAACGGTGAGGATGTCTGCAGTTTAATTACGTGTGAAAACTGCGCCTGGAGACTTAGAATCTCGTTTGGTGTTTGTTGTGATGCAGCTGCTGTTGGTTGGGCACGGGGCGGCATGAACTCGAACGTCCCCGGTGAAGAGTGATAAGGCGCAAAGGTAGGCGCTTGATTGTGTCGCCCAAACGATGAGTTGTCGAGGCTCATCGGTGCTAATCCATGTTTCCTCCATTGCTCTGTGTCGAATGCGCAGGTGTCCTTGTCTGCTGCTGCTGGTCGAAGTGCGACATGAAGCTGAAGAATCTTTCCATAAGGTTGGGGTCCACGCTTGAAGAGGGAGATGGAGTTACCATCTCTGGTACCCTTGCTGTTGTTTCTTGAGCAGTCCCGGTCTCTGTCTGCAGTCCTGAGGTGTGCAGACCAGAGTTGCCGTGTTGAGTTTCTTGGCCGCTGGGTGAGCCCGTAGAGACTTTCTTGCCCTTGCTGTCCATGTCTTGTAATCAATGAAGTTGTTGAATTTGAGTTGAGTTGCAGTTTGTTGATGAAGCGCAGTTGCTGGGAGTTTGGTCTCTGACCAGCTCTCATACCATGTTGGGCTGATAAAAGCCCTTGGGATCTTTTTCAGAGACTAAGTCCCAGCTGTAGAGACTTGAGACCTTGAGTAGTGCAGCGGAAGTTTGAGACAGTTGAACCCTTGTACTAGTATGTGAGAACAAGTGATTGATTAAAGAAACAAGCATACAGCAATATATAGAAGATAAGAAAGCAGTTGTAGAGTACCGTTACAGGAACGGTTTATCGAGTCGCACAGCGACTCGATTGCCGCTTCGGTTACCATCCGTGATGTTGTAACGGTCAGTCGCAACCTCCAGTTGTGACCTTTCGAGTCTTTTCGCATTCTTTGTCCGTCCCCTCATGTAACCTCCGTTGACTCGCGTGCTCCCCTGTAGTCTTCCTTGAGTGCAGTGTTACACTTCAGAAACGCTTAAGTCCTTTGAGATATTTCCAACAAAAGAGAGAATGGTTAGATAGTATGAGAAACATAGAACATATACATGTTGGGATTGTACTCACTACAAGCACACACCTAGTCTAGCCTATATCTTCTACATACGGTATATGTATAAGTTGACAACACCCCCTAGGCTAGAGAAGGGGTGGTGCTAAGCAAGAAGCACACATCTCAGGGTGGCACTACTAGTCCAACCACTGAGGTAAGGGTCCTAAGACCAGTCAACAAGAGTACAAGCAAGACTAAAGCAAGCCAGGGCGGCACTACTAGTCTAGCCACTGGAGGTAAGGCCACAAGGCCAGTCAGACAGGTATATATAGTAGAGAGTACACAATCAGGGTCCTAACAGGGGAGTAGCTACAGGAATAAGACCAAGCTGTACACAGTGCCGCTGATGATCTTTAGGCGCAAGCGCCTTAGTAAAGATATCAGCTGTGTTGGCACCTGAGGCCAAGTGAACTACGCGGGCCTGGCGACGCTGCTGTAGCTCGCGCACGAGGAAGTACCGCAGCTGGATATGCTTCGCTCTGCCCTCAAGCCGAGGCTCCTGACACAGGAGAATCATGGCCCTGTTGTCAGCATATAAGACAGGGGCAGAGCTAGGCCGCTCACCTAAGTCTGTAAGCAAGAAGGTCAGCCAGCGGAGCTCCTGTGCCGCCATGGCACCAGCGTAGATCTCAACCTCATAGTTGGACTGAGCAACAGACGACGAGCGAGTGGATCTCCAAGAGATAGCACCCGAACCAAGGCTAAAACAGTAACCCTGCGACGACCTGAGCGTTTCAGAGTCGTCTGCCCACGAAGCGTCTGTGTGCCCAGTGAGGACCACTGGCCTGCGTCCTCCTAGCACTAACCACATGTCTGATGTACTTGCTAGATATTGCAAAACCCTCTTAGCGGCCGACCAGTGCTGTGGTCGGTGTCTGCCAGTGGCCACAAAGCGAGCCAAGATGCTGAGAGGCTATGTGAGGTCTGGGCGAGTGCAAGTCATTAGGTACATGAGGCAACCCACCAGCTCTGCGTAGGGGCCGCTGGGCTCTACTGGCTCCTCAGGAACGAGAGCGGAGAGCCCATGGTCTACAGGTAGAGGTGTGGGCTGTGCGGAGGAGAACTGAAGACCGAACCTCTGAAGGACCTGACGCACAAAGTGTGACTGTGTCAGAGTGATGGTGCGTGCTGCTCTGTCCCTAGAGATCTGCAGGCCAAGATAGCGACGCATCTCTCCTAGGTCAGTGCAGGTGTGTCTCTTTAGCAGCTCGGCCTTCACGGAGGCCAGTGCGTCCCTGTCAGCAGTAGCGAAGACCAGGTCGTCTACGTAGACAAGGATGTAGAACGGAGTCTTGCCGGAACGCACAAACAGCGAGGGGTCAGCAAAGGACGGAAAGAACTGCAGGTCTGCTAGCGTGGCATGCAGCGTGTCGTGCCACTCGCGGGGAGCCTGGCGCAGACCGTAGACCGGGCGCCTGAGAAGCCACTGGGTCACAGGGGGGAAGGTACCGGTGAAGCCCTGTGGACGGCGCAGGTAGACCTGCTCGTGTAGGCTTCCCTGAAGCAAGGCAATGGAGAAGTCAAGGGAGTGAAGCTCGTAATCGCGCTGTGCTGCTACGTGTAGCAGCGCCCGAAGAGTAGTCATCCTCGGGGTCAGGGCGAAGGTCTGGAAGAAGTCAACCCCCTCGCGCTGGCTGAAGCCTCTGGCCATGTAGCGCGCCTTGAAGACAGGCGGCTCTCCAGGGGGGAACTTCACCTTGAAGAGCCACCGACCATCGACTACGTTCAACCCAGGCGGGGGAACTGCGTCGACGTAAGTGCCGGTGGACCTCCAAGATGCCATCTCGTGCTCCATGGCAGCTATCCACTGAGAGGCCCAAGTTCACGAGGTGGCCTCAGCGTAAGTGCGAGGGGTCGGGATGTTGAAGGCGTCTGGGTCACCCTCCGGGACTAGGAGCATGGAGCACAGATGGGGAGCGGTCTCGGAAAGGAAAGCAAGCTCGTACTGCGTGTCCTCTAGAACGTCACTGCCAAGAGCAGGTGCACCCCTGAGGGACAGAGGACGGGCGGGGTCAGAGACCAGAGCGGTAGTGTTACAGGATCGAATGTGTCGAGGAAAGGTTGCACTATCGATCTGTACAAGGCGCTTTTATACTTCCTGAGTACATCAGGTAACCAGGTCTATCTTATCCTAGGGGAATAGACCCTTCTAGAAGATAGAATCACCCTGCGTATAGCCACGCGAGGCTATTGGCTTTAAGGGATTACAGCAGGATTACGCTAGATAGAGCGCACCAGTACATCCCAAGCCTGGTCGGTGATATAATTATAATAGCAGGATAAACCAAAGGTTAATGGAAAAGGAAGAATAGGAAACCAAATGAGATGGAATAAAAGAGAAAGGAAAAAGGAAGGAAATAAGAAAAGGCCAAGTGGTGTAACGAGGTCGTACTCTCACACTTCCCCCCTCAAAGCTGGGTGGTAGAAGTAACACCCTGCTTGACAAGGTAGTCATGTAGAGGACGACGGGCGTTACCCATGTCGGACTCAGGTACCCAGCTGTCCTCAGAAGGATCATAACCCTTCCAACGGATGAGAAGCTCCACGGTGCCATTCCGACGACGGCGGTGTGCGAGCACGGACTCGACCTCGTACTCGGGTTCATTATGGACGAGGACGGGCGGTGGCGGCGGCGGTTGGCGTCCGACGAAGATCGTGTTCGGGTCCCGATAGGGCTTCAGAAGTTGGACGTGGAAGGCGTTGTGAATCTTCCAGGTAGCTGGCAGGCGTAAGCGGAAGGTAACAGGAGTGACCTGTGCTTCAACGAGAAAAGGCCCGCAGAAGCGAGGTCGAAGTTTAGATGGGAGATGGCTGATGTCCAGGTTGCGGGTGTCAAGAAGCACCTGGTCTTCTACCGTGATGGTGTGATCGTTGCGATGGCGATCGGCTTGGCGCTTCTGTTGCTGTTGAATGTCGAGTAGGCGCTTGTGGGTCCGATCCCAAAGCTGATGCATGGTTGTGATGAAATCATGTGCGGGTTGGACTGTAGCTGATGTTGTCGGTTTTTGTGGTGTGAGTGGGTGGCGTCCGTAGCAGAGGAAGAACGGCGTCTGTCCAGTAGCGGCATATGTAGCATTGTTGTAAGCAAACTCTAGTACGGGCAGGTGCAAGTCCCATTTGGAGATCTCGTCCTTGCAGGCTGCTCGGAGGAGTTGCTCAACAATTTGGTTGAGGAGCTCGGTCTGTCCGTCTGTTTGCGGATGGTAAGCGGATGACATGGCGAGTTTGGTCCCGAGGAGAGACATAAGTTCCTTCCAGAACTTGCTGGTGAACTTAGGGTCTCGGTCGGAGATGAGTGTGGTTGGAATGCCATGCTGTGAGATGATGTATCGAACGAAGAGTTGTGCTGTTTCTTCGGTGCGTGCTGTCGTGTGTGTCGGGATGAAGTGTCCCATTTTGGAGAACTTGTCAATGACGACAAGGATGGCGTCATGACCGCTGGAGGTAGGTGGTAACCCGGTGATGAAGTCCAGGCTAACCACTTGCCATGGTTGTTCTGAGACAGAAAGAGGCTGCAGTAGTCCCGCCTTCTTCTGTTTGCTGCTCTTCATCCGCTGACATGTATCACACGAGGTGACGAATTTCTAGACATCTTCTGCTAAGTGGGGCCAGTAGTAGTGCTTTGCGATACCGGTCAGCGTCTTGTTGCTACCGAAGTGTCCGGCGTAGAGGACGTCGTGGTATTCTTCGAGTAGTAACTGGCGCAAAGGAGGGTAATTTGGTACCCAGATTTTCGTTGATCCTTTCCGGTACGTGATGTCACTGTCCCACTGTAGCAGATGTCGCTTTTCTGCCAAGGGAATTTCGGGGTCGATGGCGTACCCGTGTGTGAAGAGTCCCTTGAGTAGTGGATTCATCCCTTCGACCTGAATAGCGGCAACGTGTGCAGGCCGGCTGAGAGCGTCTGCTTTGTTCTTGTGACCTGGCTTGTACACGATGTCGTAGTGGAAGTGTGTCTCGAGGAAGTCGATCCACCGGACCTGCCGCGTGGAAAGGTTGGGTTGTGTCTTCAAGTATTTCAGGCTGCAGTGGTCAGTGTAGACGGTTGTTCTTCGTCCTTCGAGATAGCATCTCCACGCTTTGAAGGCGATGATGATAGCCAGGGCCTCTTTTTCGTGTATCGGGTAGTTTAGTTCTGCCCCGTGCAGTTTCTTACTTAGGTAAGCGATTGGTTGCAGTCCATTCCCTTGATCTTGCATCAAGACTGCTCCCACTGCTTGGTCACTGGAGTCAGCTTCGATGACGTAGTCGCGTTCGGGATCTGGCAAAATGAGTACCGGTGCGGACGTAAGTGCTTGCTTCAGCTGCTCCACCGCTTCCTGGTGCTTCGGCTCCCATTTGTAGGGCGTGTTCTTCTTCAGCAGATTCGTGAGTGGTGCTGCGATTTTCGCATACTGTGGCACGAACCTGTTGTAGTAATTAGCGAAGCCTAGGAACTGCTGCAACTCCTTCACGTTCTCGGGTGTCTTCCACGTGCGTACGGCTTCGATTTTCTTGGGGTCGACGTGAGCGCTCACTATGTGTCCTAGGAACTGGACCTTTTCAAGGGCGAATTCGCTCTTGGACAGTTTGACGTAGAATCGTTCTCGTCGAAGAATTTCGAAGACGCGTCGCAGGTGTTCGACGTGCTGCTTCATGTCGCGCGAGTAGATGAGTATGTCGTCCAGGTACACCACCACGCACTCGTCCAAAAGTGGTCGTAGAATGTGGTTCATTTCGGCTTGGAACGTTGCCGGTGCGTTGGTGAGTCCGAATGGCATTACCAAATACTCGTACGATCCGTACCGAGTTCGGAAAGCAGTTTTGTGGATAGAGTTGTCCGCCATGCGTATTTGCCAGTATCCGGACCGCAGATCCAGTTTGGAAAATACCGTAGCTCCCCGAAGCTGGTCAAGCAGGTCATCGATTCGCGGTATTGGATATTTATTCTTGATGGTCTGCTTGTTAAGAGCTCGGTAGTCGATGCACATGCGCAGGCTTCCGTCCGGTTTCGGTGTGAAGAGTACCGGGGCACCGTACGGCGAAGTGGATGGTCGGATGAGTCCTTTGGCTAGGAGATACTCGATTTGTTTTTTCATGTCAGTCAGCTCCGTAGGGCTGAGCCGATATGGTGCTCGGAAGGTCGGCTTCGAACCCAGTTCCTCCACGATCTCGTGTTGATGCGTTCGGTATGGCGGTAGCTCATTCGGAAGATCGTCCGGAAGAATATCTTGGAACTCCTTCAATAATTCCTTGATCTTTTCTGGAGTTTCCGAGGCTTTCTCTCCGTCATTCTCCACCTCTGTTGCTATCGCCAGGAACCCGGTGTCGGTTCGCTTCACGTCCTTCTCGAATCGTGCGAGTGTCTCCACTGGGATATCTCCAGTATCGTCCCAGTTGGGTAGGTGTACTCTCCGTCCATTGTTGTAGATGCTTGCGGTGCGGTTCACCCAGTTGATCTCGGGGTTGAATCTTTTTAGGAAGTCTCGCCCGAAGATCAAGTCAAGCCCCTTGATGTTGGTGATGGGGAGTGCAGGTCTCCAGCGCAGTGGTCCAATTTGTAGGTGTAGCACTGCTTCGCCGTGTACTGGTAACTTGCTGCCGTCCACCATCGTTGCAGAGAATCCTGAAGGCTTGTACTCTTCCCGAAGTCGGTCGATCACTGCCTTGTCGCAGACGGTGTGTGATGCTCCGCTGTCCACGAGTGCTTGGAGGCGTCGTCATTTGCAGATGACCTCGAGCACGAGGGGCAGTCGTTGCTCGGAGTACCCAAAGATAGTTTCATTGATTGGGTCATAGGGTACATCCCAGTATCCCGTACACACCTGTGTGTTGCTATCTACTCCTGAGCTGGCAGCTGGCCGAGGCTGCTTGGAGAACGGTTCTTCTCCAGGGCCCGGAGTTCCCCTGACGACTGTGCGCGTCACTGATGCCGAAGAACTGGATGCATCCGTAGGAGGAGTTCGGGGTTTGTGCAGCTTCTTGTAGACCCCCAGCTTCCTCTTGAGCTGCTTTAGCTCCACCGACGTCTTCCCTGGGGAACGGGTAGTCGTTGTGGGCTGGTGTCAGGAGAGGACGTTGACTCCGTGGAAAGGTCGGCTTCTTTCCACACTCCTTAATTTTTTCCCCAAGTTGTCCGGTACCGGTATAATCTCCACAACTGTCTGCTTCTTTTGGAGTCCCTCCCGAAATTTCTCCAAGGCTCTAGCTCCTCGAAAATCATAAGTTTTCATTCAAGCATCTTTATAAGATAACTTTAATGAATTCTTATAATTTCTTGGCTCTTCAAGGAGTTTCCCCGTCTCGGCAGAGTCTTTTTTCGCGGAGTCGTATTTTTCCTCGGCGATTTTCCCTGGCGAAGACTGGTTGTGGGGTGGAGATTTTCCCCCATCATTTCCTCCTTCTCGCGTCGAATCAGCTTCGTCGAAGTTGATTTTTCCAGAATCCCGCGGCCGCTTTCGGATCTTTTTATTTTCGCCAGCTAGATCCGCAATCACTGGCGACTCCCGTTTTTTGGCTTCTGATTGGCTGAAGGAGTTCCGCCACTGTTGCGTGCTCGATACTCTGCACGTGCGGCTTTCATTTTGCTGCAGTCGAAGATTCGATGACCCGGCACCCCGCAAAAATCGCATGTGTAGTTGGTGTTTTTCGGACGTGGCCGCCCCTCATATCTGTCGACTTCCATCGGGTCGGCGAACGTGGGTTGGGCCGAGCGGTCGCCCTGTCGCGTACTGCCGACGTGCTTCAGTCGTGTTCCGGCGTTGACCATGTCGAAACGCTCCGCTGCCGAAACGACGTCACTGTAGCTCGCGTAGTTTGACGCTGCGACTTGTCGTTTGACTTCGGTCTTCAGCCCGGCGAGGTACGATTGTACTTTTTCCCCTTCGGTCAGGTCGGGAATGCGGTTATAAAATTCCTCCATCTGCTGCGTGTACTGCGCTACACTCCCGAACTGTCGGTGTCGATGAATTTTTTCCTGGGCAAGGAAACTGGAATTTATCGGCTCGAAGCGTTTCAGCAGGTCAGCGCGGAACTGCTGCCACGTGGCTTCACCGTGGATGAAAGTACTGTTGCCGCCAATCCACTCGAGTGCCGGCCCTCGCATCAGTGTCGCCGCGAGTCGTACACGTTGACCGTCCCAGACTGGCGAGCTCCATCCGACGGCTGCGAAGTAGATCTCCATCCCGGCGATCCATCTGCGGGCGTCGGAGTTTCGATCGCTCGGATCGAACGGCTCAGGTGGGCGCGGTTTCGGAGCCTCGAGAAACTACTGCGACTGCTGCGTCGTCGCCGTTGTCGTCTCGTGCTGCGCTCTAGCGAGTCGAGTTACTCGCTCGAACTCGTTTCGCCATGCTTCGCGATCCGCTCGCATTTCCTCCTGAAGGGCTGCGATGCGCGCGAAGAGCTGCTGGGTAACCTCGGTGTTGTCGAAGGTTGCCATCCTATTCAAAACACGCACGGAGGGGGTAATTCGAAAATCGCGGAGCTGGTGCTTACTAGAATCGGCGTCGAATTGGTCGCCCCCGGCGGTTTTTCGAGGCAGGATCCCCGCTGCTGCTGCTTAGCTGAGCGCGGTCGAGTGAGAAAAGCTCTGATTACCAAGTGTCACAGGATCGAATGTGTCGAGGAAAGGTTGCACTATCGATCAGTACAAGGCGCTTTTATACTTCCAGAGTACATCACGTAACCAGGTTTATCTTATCCTAGGGGAATAGACCCTTCTAGAAGATAGAATCACCCTGCGTATAGCCACGCGAGGCTATTGGCTTTAAGGGATTACAGCAGGATTACGCTAGATAGAGCGCACCAGTACATCCCAAGCCTGGTCGGTGATATAATTATAATAGCAGGATAAACCAAAGGTTAATGGAAAAGGAAGAATAGGAAACCAAATGAGATGGAATAAAAGAGAAAGGAAAAAGGAAGGAAATAAGAAAATGCCAAGTGGTGTAACGAGGTCGTACTCTCACAAGTAGCGTAGTCAAGGCGGCGGGTAGAGGCGAAGTCAGCGACAGCAGCGACAAGCGCGTCAAGGCGGAGACAGGAACAGACGGGTCGGTAACAAGAGAGGCAAGAAACCAAGGGACAAGGGGACGAACGGCACGGAGGTAGTCAGACAGCGGAGGAGATGCAACAGCAAAAGATGAGTGAGGAGGCGAGGGGAGGAGGGGGGGACGAGAAGAGTGGGAACGGAGCAATATGGGGTGGGAGCGCAGAACAGGAGAGACGAGACGAGCACGTGAGGGACGGCGGGACCAAACGTGGGACGGAGGTGTAGGGTCGGGCGACAGCGGAGGGGACACAATGGGGGAACGAGGAGGGAGACGGGCTGGAGACGAGTCCGGCTGCGGGAACACAAGGCCGTAGATAGGAAGGTGAAAAGCTGGTGGGGGAGACACCGGCGAGCGGTCAGGGGAGGGAAGGCTGAGCAGGCGAAGAGCAGAGATTGGCGGCGACGGCTGCGGCGGCGGCTGGTGCTTGACCCTCGAACCGGCAGGGGCACGATGACCGCCGGGAGAACACTCAATAGCAGCACCCCCAGAACCAACACCCCCAGAGCGAGAACCCCCTCCAGCCCCAGCGGCACCCCCAGGCCCGCCAGGACAGACCACGCCAGGAGCCGCAGGACGAACACCCTCCTCAACGCCAGCACCCCAAGAGGCCAAGAGCGGCAGCGGCGGCGGCGGCGGTGACGGCGGCGGCTGCGACAGCGGAGGCGGAGACACCGGGGAAGGGGGACGCGGCAAGGACGGGCCGGGGGGACCACCGGAGTCAGCAGACTCCTCAAAGAGGACAACCGACAGGAGGGGAGTGACATGGGAGACACCAGACAAGGCAGGACGAGGCGGGAGGGGAGGAGGGGCTACCGGGGGAGAGGGAGCAAGGAACAAGGGGGGGGGAACCTGGAGACCTCGGCGAGGGAAGCGACAGTAGAAGGAGACAGACTCATCAAAGGTGACGTCACGAGAGTGAAGGAAGCGGTGAGACTGCGGGTGGTAGAACAGCCAGTCAGACGAGTCTAGGGGGAAACCGAGGAAGACACAGGGGACAGTGCGGGCAGTGAGCTTGTCCGTGCCAGAGGCACGAACGTGAGCAAGGCAACCCCAGACGTGGAAAGCAGATGCGTCACCGGGGGACCGGTCCAAAGGAGGGACGGCAAAACCTGCGGCCGCTGGGAGCGTGGCCACAAGTTAACCTGGTGAGCAGCGTAGCGGACAGCGAACGGCCACAGAAAATGGGGGCCATCGGCATGAATCATGGAGGTACGAGCAACCTCCATGACCAAGCCGATGCGGCGCTCAGCAACCCCATTCTGCTGTGGCGAGTCCGGAAAGGTGTTCGACTGGGTGATGCCCTCCGCACGACAGAAGTGGCCAAGCCGACCAGAGGCGAACTCGCCGCCACGGTCAGAGTGGAGACACAACACGGGGAGACCGCGGTGAAGACGCGCAGCCACAACCCACGGGAGAAGAACGTCGGGCACGTCGGCCTTCCGCTCTCGGGGAAACACCGTGGTGTAGCGCGTGTAGTTGTCGACGAGCACAAGAAAGTAGCGCTCATTGCGCGGTCCGGGGACGGGGCTGGGCCCCAAACGTCCAGGTGCAGGGTCTGAAGGGGAGCAGTAGCAGGTCGAAGCGAGGAGGAGTGAGGGCCACGGCGGAGCCGGCCCTCAACGCAAGGCGTGCACGGTGGCGCAGTCGAGGGGGGAAGTGCGGAGAGCGATGCAAGGAGGCCTAAGACAAGACCGTGCTGAGACATGTGACGCAGGCGCGGGAGAGCAGGGTGACCTAAGCGGTGGTGCCATAGAAGAGACGGGTGTGTGAGGGACCGACACGAGCAAGCTGCAGCGATCTGGGAGGACGAACCAGCCGGGGGAGAAGCGGTGTCGAGGGTAAACAGACTGGACACCGGGTCCTGGGGGAACGTCGCAAGGGGGGAACCTCAGACTGCCTCTGTACAGAGAGCGAACCGCTCGTGCCCAGGGAACGTAGTGGTGACGCCAAGGCACTGAAGACGGCCGACACCAACCAGGTTCCTGGAGAACGAGGGAACTTGGAGGCCTGTAAGAGAGCCCGAGGGAACGGCTGGACAGGGAAGGGAAGTGGAGCTGCGAGCAACGACAGGACCCGCGGAGGGGTCAGCGAGAGCGACAACAGCAGGCGCAGCAAGCGGCGTGAGCATGGAGCGATCGCGGAAGAAATAGGCAGAAGCACCAGAGTCGAGAGTGAAGGACAGCGAGGCAGTCGCGGATGCCGGGAACGGAGCCGGCGCAGAAACTAGGCTAGCCAAACTAGGCAGTCCTACGCCTGACGCAGCAGGGGAGGCTAAGCTACACAAAGGTGCTACGTTTAAACTAGAGTACACAGGGTAATAAGATCCAGCAACACTAGAAGCGTCAGCATACAAGGCATGCAAAGCAACACCTATCTGATCCATATCTAAATCAAAGATCGGCACGCCCTGGCGAAGCAGGCTGTGCCTGTCGGGGAGGTCCGAGGCCGGGCCAAAGCAACGACGAAAGAGATCGTCGAGGCGGCGGAAACAGCGGGCGGTCGGGTGCGGGCGGCGGCACAGAGTGCCGCGGAGAGGCCCGGTCTGAAGCTGGTACTGGCAGGTCACACCAACGGAGCTGCCGGTAGACGCCAAGCTGCGCGGGCCGCCACCACGGCCACCACCGACGGAGGTGCCGGGCCAACCCGGGGTGAGGCGAGCCCACGGCTGGGGCTGGGACAGCTGTTCGATGACTACGACTGATGCGACGGCTCCTGCGGCTACTCCTGCTACAGGGGCGACGGTTGCTGCTCCTGACTAGCTGAGGCAGTCCCCTCAGTAGAACCACTGTCCCAGGTACCACCACTACTACAAGCAGCTCCACCACCATGCCCTCCCAGGCGGCCACGACCGGCGCGGCGCGAGCGCTGCTGCGGGTGTACCGCAGCTGCAGTCTTGGTCAGAGGGGTCGCAGTGGCGACCGCAGCCGAAACGTCAGTAAACGTGCACTGGGAGGGGGCACAGCCGTGAAAGATAGAGACTGTCGGCGCACCGCTTGACTGAGCGATAGTGCGCTGGCGAGTCTCGATCTCGGTCAGGGCGGTGACAAAGGCGGGCAGGGTGAGGTCACCCGGGTGCTGGCTAAGGATGTGGTCGCGTGCACTAGCAAGGCGGTCAGGCAGGCGCATAGCGATAAAGTAGAGGGTCATGCAAAAGGGGGGGGGGGTGGGGAGCACAGTGAGCTGGGCAGCAGTGCTAGCAGTGCTGTAGTGAGACTCTAGGGCTCGCAGGTGAGTGGCAAGGTCAGCAACAGTAGGGAAGGAAGCAAGGTCTGGGAAAAGCATAGGGAAGAGCAGGCGGCCTGCAGTAGCGGAGGCGGACGTAGAATAGCGAGCAACAACAGCTTCTAAGTAAGCCTTGGCTGTATCAACTGTAGCAAAACGCGAACGCTCAGACACAGGGAGGGCGTGACTGATAGCGACCTGAGCAACTGCATCGCGAGAGTCCCAGACGGCACAGGCAAGTGCAGCAGCAGAGAAAGTCTCACCTTCAGTAGAGGTGGGGTCAGCAGGGAGGGGAGCAGGCATAGGGGGGCGGGGGAGCATGCCATCAGCATGGAGAACCAAGGAGTGCCCATCCTGGCGCTGACCTGAGAGTTGACGGCGGAGATCAGACAGCCAGGCGACGAAGTCAACCGCATGGCCCTCAGCGTCCAGGCGGAGGAAGAAGTCAGCCATCGTGCAGGGTCAGCGACACAGGGACACAGCGGCACAGCTCCACAGGACATAGCGGCACAGGGACACAGCAGCATAGCTCCAGGGGGACGACGGCAGGATGCTCCAGCGCTGGCAAGCAGAAGACACAAGGCTGGAGACTCGAGGAACCATGCCGAGCAGAAGACACGGAGCCACAGGAGCCGGGCGGGCACAGGGAAGGGCGGGCGCAACAGGACGGGCGGGCGCGAGAAGGGGCCGGGCGGGTGCTAGGAGGGGCCGGGCGGGCGCTAGCAGAGGCCGAGCGGGCGCTGTGGAGGGGCCAGGCGGGCGGTAGAAGGGGCCGGGCGGGCGCTAGGAGGGGCCGGCTAGGAGCAGGCGCGAACGGCCACGGGGGGGGCGGCTAGGGGCGGACGCGACGGGTAGGGGGGCGGCTAGGAGCGGGCGCGAACGGCCAGGGGGCCGGCTAGGAGCGGGCGCGAACGGCCAGAGGGCCGGCTAGGGGCGGACGCGACGGCCAGGGGGCCAGCTAGGGGCGGAAGCGACGGCCAGGGGGCCGGCTAGGGGCGGACGCGACGGCCAGGGGGCCAGCTAGGGGCGGGCGCGACGGCCAGCGGGCCGGCTAGGGGCAAACGCGACGGCCAGGGGGCCGGCTAGGGACGGGCGCGATGGCCAGGGGGCCGGCTAGGGACGGGCGCGATGGCCAGGGGGCCGGCTAGGGACGGGCGCGACGGCCAGGGGGCCGGCTAGGGGCGGACGCGACGGCCTGGGGGCCAGCTAGGGGCAGGCGCGATGGCCAAGGGGCCGGCTAGGGGCGAACGCGATGGCCAGGGGGCCAGCTAGGGGCGGGCGCCACGGCTATTGGGCCGGCTAGGGGCGGACGCGAACGGCCAGGGGGCCAGCTAGGGGCGAACGCGACGACCAGGGGGCCGGCTAGGGGAGAACGCGACGGCCAGTGGGTCAGCTAGGGGCGGGCGCGACGGCCAGGGGGCCGGCTAGGGGCGGACGCGACGGCCAGGGGGCCAGCTAGGGGCGGGCGCGACGGCCAGGGGGGCGGCTAGGGGCGAACGCGACGGCCAGGGGGCAAGCTAGGGGCGGGCGCGACGGCCAGGGGGCCGGCTAGGGGCGGATGCGACTGCCAGGGGGCCGACTAGGGGCGGACGCGACGGCGAGGGGGCCAGCTAGGGGCGGACGCGACGGCCCAGGGCCGGCTAGGGGCGGACACGACGGTCAAGGGGGGGGGGGGGGGGGGGGGGGGGGGGGGCAGCTAGGGACGGGTCACGAGGGCGGCTAGGGCCTAGGGCGGAAGCGTGGGCGGGCGAGAGGAACCTAACCTACTCATGATACCATGTTAGAAAGAGAGAATGGTTTGATAGTATGAGAAACCTAGAACATATACCTGTTGGGGTTGTACTCACTAGAAGCACACACCTAGTCTAGCCTATAACTTCTACATACTGTATATGTATAAGTTGACAAAATCGCGTATGATTACTTACTGCCAGATATGTGTTAATGGAAGAGTTGCATAACGGATCTTTAAATTGCCGTTACACATTTCGGAATTAGGGCTCGTTAACAAAGTTACCGCCAGGTTTCGTTGTATGAAACCACTGTCGATTTCAGTTGCCCGCCAAGTACCGGCTCCTTTTGGCCACGTCATTATCGTTTCGCCACCTGTCACACACACCAGCCACCACACCTGAACCACATCAGCCTACTGTCTCGCGATACCTTATCTCAACCAGCCACCCATAGCCAATCCCGCGCACCCTACAAAACCCGCCCCCCAGACCACGCGTGTACTTAACCACCTCGCGAATCACACCAAGGGCGTGTTTTTTCTCATAAAATCCAAACCACGTCTTGCATTCGACATGCTTAGGACGTGGTGATCAGTTTGCGTGCCGATGCAATGCATCGCCAGCTGTCACGCCATTCTTCGTGCCTTTGCACGACCTCGCACGGCCCAATGGTTTTCGGAGCACTAAGTCGAGGCATGGCGTGCCATACAGCGCGCCAAACTCGCGAATGTGGCAAACTCATCTAAAGATTGTTAGTTTTTTCGCAACGTCCGTAACCGCACCGACACCAAAAAAAAATTGCCGTAGAACATTCGTGACGTTCGCTCGCATGTTCCCTACCCCCAAAACCAATACCAGGGGAAAATTTTGATGGCCATTCGACGGTGCTATTTGTTAAATTATATATTGTGTTATATAAGTGGTAGGCTTGGTAGGTTACCGAACTCT